CCTTTTCTTCTTATGTAGCACTTACATTATAGGTAGTAGTATTATTGCCTATATGTAGATAGTAATATCGCCTATATTGATCAGTCTTGTATAATAGGATATGGACATATCAGAATCTTTCCGATTTCAATATGAATATTAAACTAGTTAATATCCATTTAATATATGATGTAGTACATTCAGAATTTGATATAAATCAATCTTATAGCTAAGAAAAATGCGAATAAGTAAAGTCAAAAAACAAATCGAAAAAAGAATTAAATTGAACAAAACTGTAATACAACAACAAATTAGAAAATCGGATGCGCACCCCTCATTTTATTCTTTTATCCAACCTTAATATCATACGTCTTTAAAAACACATTTCAAAGGTGAAATTGTTACAATAAATGAATTCCAATCTTAATAACTTCATAATTATTAATTAATAATACATATATATAATAAGCTATCTCAAACACCATTTGTCATATGAATCCCTCCAATTGAAGAAAATACATAAATAATTGAATCTATCTATCTATATCTATAGTATATTAAAAGCACGAAATTTTTTAACGAAATAGTATTCGCCTTTTTTACCCTAAAATAGAATTCACACTTGACAAAATAGTCATTTGATTATTCTCTTAATATTTAGAAATAGGCATTTAATTTTTTTACTATTTAGGAATAGTCATTAATTAATTTTCTACTATTTAGGAATAATCATTTAATTATCTAAGTCTAAGTTAAATATAAAAAAATATTTCCAAGAAGGAATCAAATACTATACCTTTTTTTTTGACAATATGGATATATATTATATAAAACTAGAAGTTGTTGCTAGTACATATACTTCGAATATGAAAATCGTCACATATTGGTGACCCAATATTTGTGACATTTTGATTCCATAGATAAAATACTATACCTTATTAAAAAGAAATTCTAACTTTTCAGCAATTTTGCTGATTTGTCAAACAAAAAAATTAGGAACTTTTCTTTACCCCTTTTACATTTTGTACTGTAGAAAACTTTTCGAAAAATTATCAAACAAAAAATTAGGAGCTTTTCTTTTACATCTTAGATTGTAAGCCATCCATGTTTCTGCTTTAAACAATTTAATTTGTTCTTTGCACTTGGCAAGTTTGTCTAATTTCAAGTAAGAAAAGAGCTATCCTTAAGGCCCCGTTTGGCGACACATTTTCCCAAAATAAATTTGAAATTTATTTTCAAAACCCATATTTGGCCATAAATTTTGCCCACATTTTGCCCAAAACCCAAATCCCATATTTCAAATCCCAAAATCAGCTAATAAGCTGATTTTGGGCCAAAATATGACCGTTATATTTTTTTAAAATTCTCAATATTACCCCAAACTTTTATATTTTATAAAAGAGCCCACATTTATTAAGCCCAACTAAACCATATCTGCTCACTTGTCTCTACCGGTTAATAGGGTAACATACTTTAAATTTTATAGCTAGTTACGATCATTTTTTTTGGACTCATGGATCTTGTAATATTATTGCAATTTGACGAATTGTAATAGCTAGTAATTGTGTTTGTTATTAAAAATGATAATTTTGTACCAAACTTATTTATGTTCAGGAATATGGTTTGTGATAATGATAATGAATGTTATTGATGAAGGTTATGTATATACAATATAACAAGTTTATTTGTTTGGTACTGTTGGGTATTTTTTATAGTTTTTAGAACTTGTGGATATAAGTTAATGTTTCATATTTTCAAATAAAAAGTGAAATATGTTCTGAAAAACACGTCCAAACACATTTTCATCTTCAAACCAAACTTCACCTAAATCAGATTTTTCAAAATAAATTTGGGATTTATGGCCAAACTCTAGCTAAATCTCCGTAAAATTAGTTTTAATGCAAATTTATTTTCAAAAAAAAGAATATTATAACTTCAATTATTGTTTATGGATAAACATATTTTTGTAATATTGACATTTTCTCTTACCCTTCAATTACGTACTATTTTTTCAAAATAATATACATCTAAAATAATAAAATTACTTTATAATAAATAATAGGTCAAACTAAAGCATATTCTCTGTGTGAAATTTGAAGTTGGACATGAATTTGTAAGGAAAAAGTAGTATTTGAAGTTAAGTTTAAAAAAAAGTATTTGAAAGCCATGTTTACCTTTTTAATTTGTTTCTTAAAAGAAGTTTAAAGGTTATAGACGAGCTGAGATACATTGTGAGCAATGTTAACACAAGTTTTAAATGTTTTTTTATATAGAATTAGATAAACACAATCAATATTCTTTAGTTTAAGGAACTTACACCATTTTCTTTATCTTTGTATTTTATAATTCAAGATACTTTTATAATAATATTTTTGTGATTTTTAACAAGTTTATTCATGACACGGGATACACACGCGTAAAAATTGCATGGGATAGCCACTTTTTAAAGTGGTATTTAGTTTTTATCCAGTATTTTTAATGCTGAGCAAAAGTAGCCACTAGTCTATTAAAATTAATATGAAAAGACAGTATTACCCTTTCATAATTTCATAAAGGTAAAGCGCAGGAAACTGTTGCATGGAAGTTTACGTTTCCCTCGTTCAAGTGGGAGTTTTCTTCTCTCTTTTAATTTCTCACTGATTTTTAACACAATCTTTGGTAGACTGCTCGTTGTTCATAATTTTTGCCAAGAATGTATGGTTTCCTATAGATTATAATGGATGAGTGTCATGACTGTCTCTATCTAGTACATAAGTAACAAAAACGGGGCAGAACATAGGTAATAGAAAACTACGATGATTCTGGAAGAATTTTGTGCACTTCATTTGACATCAATCTTATATGTAAATTGCAATTATTATTATTTATTTATTTGTGAAAAGATACAAATAATGTTTGGTTTTCTGCTACGTTATGGATCCTGAACTTACAGTTATAAGTTCAAAAGTTAAGGACACCTGGTCCTGAACTTCGAGTTCCAAGTTCAAAAGTTTAGGACACTTGGTCCTGAACTTAGAATTACAAGTTCAAAAGTTAAAGACACTTGGTCCTGAACTTAGACTAACAAGCTCAAAAGTTAAGGACAATATGTCTTGAACTTACAGTTACAAGTTCAAAAGTTAAGGACAATAGGTCCTGAAGTCCTGAACTTAGACTAACAAGCTCAAAAGTTAAGGACAATATGTCTTGAACTTACAGTTACAAGTTCAAAAGTTAAAGACACTTGGTCCTGAACTTAGACTAACAAGCTCAAAAGTTAAGGATAATAGGTCTTGAACTTAGGCTAAGAAGCCTAAAAGTTAAGGACAAAAGGTCCTGAACTTACAGTTACAAGTTCAAAAATTTAAAGACAATAGGTCCTGAAGTCCTGAACTTAAACTAACAAGCTCAAACGTTAAGGACAATAGGTCCTGAACTTAGGCTAAGAAGCCCAAAAGTTAAGGACAATAGGTCCTGAACTTAGACTAACAAGCTCAAAAGTTAAGGACACTTGATCCCGAACTTACAGTTACAAGTTCAAAAGTTAAAGACATGTAGTGCTGAAGTTAAATGTAGTCCTGAAGTCCTGAACTTAGAGTTACAAATTCAAAAGTTAAGGACATGTAGTCCTGAAGTCCTGAACTTAGAGTTACAAGTTCAAAAGTTAAGGACATGTAATCCCGAAGTACTGAAGTTAAGTTCAAAAGTTAAGGACATGAGCAGAAGGGTATTTTCGTCCGGGCAGTTAAAGTTTATTAAAATAGGGCAGTTAAAGTTTATTAAAATAGTGGCTAAAGACTAATGATATTTTAAATAGTGGCTTAAAAGTAAATACATGTGTTATTAGTGGCTAACCGTGCACTTTCCCCTACACACGCAGCGTGCGTACAGAGCCCGCGAAATATCGTTCGTCTTTTTACTCTTTTATAATAGAGTTCTCACTGGACAAAATAATCATTATTATCTTATTATTTTCCTAATATTTAGGTTTTAAATTAACTAAAATTTTGGCTATTAAATCTCTTCTTATTTGAATTATGTAAGAACTACTAATATTTAGGAATTTAAATCTTTTCATAACTATAATATTCTTAACATACGGTAGAAGAAGGAATTACAATTGGGCGTTCATGACTTCTTTAGAAGTCTTTATTTTCCTAAAAAAATATTATTTCAAAAAAATATATAAATAATTCCTATTCTTTTATCTTCTCATAATAATAAAAAAATTAATATTGAATAATTAAAGTGGGATGGAAAAAGTAATAAATATTCTCTGGTATAATAAAAAAGGTTAATAATCTAAGTAGGGGTGTGCATTCGAATCGATTTATCGATAAATCGAATCGATTATTTGTTATCGATTTCGAAATTTTCCTTATCGGGTTATCGATTTTAATTTCGATTTTGTCCTCTTCAGTTATCGGTTTATCGATAAACCGATAAGATATACTAAAAAAATATAATACCCTTTCCTTTACTCTAAATCCCTAACTCTTATTTCCCCGACCACATTTAAGGAATGATCATATTTAAAGCTCAAGGGAATGAAGTTCAAATTAATGGAAAACAGAATTAGCCGTGATAATGTAGTTAGTTTTGTTTTTTTATACCATTGGAGTGTTGGTGTCATACATTTGATCTCTTACTTTAGTTTCGTTGCATGTGCGTGTTGACACAATTTTTATGTTATAAACGGTGTTCGTCTTATTTAGCTTCTTTTTGTCCATATTAGTTAGGCGTGTTTATAGCGATATACTTTCCGTGGAATCCCGCAAATTTTCTTATTTGTATAATCGATAACCGAATCGATAAGTCCCAAAAATCGATAAATCGGAATCGAACAAATCGAAATCTTATTGAAACGATAAAGATAAGCATATGTACAAATCGATAAGTAATTATCGATAAGGTCAAAATCGAATCGATAAATCGAATGCCCCTAAATCTAAGCATCTAAGTTAGCCACCAAATATTTTTTTCTTAGTATTGATATGGTTTTCTTAAAAAACTTAAAAACTTACCCATGGAGATAGTGTGCACGCGTGTCATAACACTAGTTGACCTATATGTCGTGTATTCATCTACTTCTAAAGTCAAACAAGTCAATAGTGTTCTATTTTTTCCCGTTCACGAATCAGAGGGGAAAAAAAAAATCAAATTGGGAGGTTCCTAACGGCGGCATGGAAGTGAACGGGGACGACGGCGAACCAGCGGCGAAATCTCCAGCTGAAGAAGAAATGACTACATTTTCTCGCCACAATTTCGGAAATTCTGGAAACACCGACGACGGCTTCTCCGTCACCATCATCGAGGTCTTTCCTCTCTTTTAGTATATTTCTCTAATTTCAGCACTCTATATTATATAAAAATTCAAACAACAACAACAAAGGATAAAGAACTCCATACAGCTAACTTCTTTTTGGCATGTAAATAGAACATGAAAGAAGAGTACGGTTTATTCGTATGGCCTTGCAGTATTGTTCTAGCCGAGTACATTTGGCAACAAAAATCACGCTTTACTGGCGCTACTGTGGTTGAGGTAAGGAACCTCATTTTATTGTTTTACTTATTGAAAATTTTATAACTTCGTTGCCTTTTATTGGTCTTTAGCTCGAATAAAGGAGGACGGTTGCAGTAAGTAACTCTATTGTAAAACTAGTGGGTTTATAATGAATCCTCAATATATTGTTGAGTTTTAGTTATACACACTGTCATGTTTTACACTATCAGCTCAACCAAAGGATAGTTACATGGAAATCTCCTTAAAATATACAACAACAACAGCCGAGTGTAATCTTACAAGTGGATTATGGGGAGCAGAGCCGGAGCTAGGATTTAAGGTGTATGGGTTCTAAATTACAAATCCAGGGTCTCGGAAAAAGTCATTGGGTTTTCTACTACTGTAGCTCCGCCCCTGACTACATATGAGTGTTTTCTTCTTAATAAGGGCATAAGACCACTCCATGTGAATGCAAGTTAGTCTCACTAAGAAACTAAAAACAAGAAAGTAGGACAACAACCACATACCTTGTCTGGCGACAGACTTCAAGTTTAAAATTTTGGAAAGAATCAAAGCACAAATTGACAAAGAGAATGAAGTTCAAAATGTGGGGCAACCCTAGAATCAAAGATTAAAAATCAGATTTCGTATAAATTGTCAAATATAAAATATAAGAGGAAAACATGAAGAAAAAAAATCAGAAAAGAAGAGTTGAAGAAGAAAAATAGGGTGCAACTTCTAAGGGAGAAAGAGCATACCCTAGCTTTTTTGATTTTGGAGTTAAGAAGATTAGAAGAGACAACCTTATGGTTTATTTATTCCCTAAAAAGAATAAATGGAGTAGTTTAAAGGAAGGCAAAGCGTGATTTAGACTTTGAAGTTGTCTGGGATTACGACATCGTTTACTTTCTGCTTTCTTAAAAAGAAAAATTGTAAAAAAAAGAAAATAGCACACTGCTTTTGAAGGGATTCGAACCCACGTGCTCTCCAAGCGAACCCAAAACTCTTACCATTGAACCCAAACCTCTTTTGTTACTGGGTTCGGTATGATATATTTATGTATAAACAATAAATTTTTCAATACAAATACAGAGTCTCGGAAAAAGTCACTGGGTTCGCCTGAACCCACACCCTCTACTGTGACTCCGCCCCTGATGGGGGGTAGTATGTACGCAGCCTTACCCCTACGCTGGAAGGGCAAAGAGACTGTTTCCGATATATAATTTGAAATGTGAGATATATAATTTGAAAATAAGACACGTTACTTGACGGATGGTGTAAAATTCCTTAAACTGATGGTCTACATAACTTAAGAACTCTTATTGTTTGGTTTCTTCGATACGGACTTGAAACAGGTTTAAAGGAGCGAAATGAATATTAAAGATTTATATGACCGACTCAAACTAGTTTGGGATTGACGCGTAGCAGCAGCAGTAGTAGTTGTTGTTTGTCTGTTGCCTACTTTGCGTACTCTGCTTTAGTTTTAGTTTGAATAGTGTTATATTTACTTCCTTTTTGTTCATCATATTACAGCTTGGGGCAGGGACCTCGTTGCCTGGGCTGGTTGCTGCAAAAGTGGGTGCAGTTGTAACGCTCACTGATGATTCAAGCAGAGTGGAGGTGTGATTTTTTATTTTTATTTTTTTGAGTAGTTTTCTAATAGACACCAGATTGAGAATTCATTATTTGATCATAGTCGTGGAGACAGTGCTCAAACCCGGGTGCTCAAACCATGGATATATTACATATCTATATTACTGGTATGATAATTGGATTCAAGAACTGAGCATAGAATTGATGTGCAGCGGGAATTGAGTATTAGGAATTATTGATAACAAAGAAGTGCTTGACCTTTTCTTTTCTCTTCTTTATTTTCTTAGCTATTTCTTACCTTGGAGCATCCGTGTATCTTTGAGGCCATTATTGTCATAAAAAATATGTTGTCCTCACAACAATTCTGGTTACAACAACAACAACAATGCCTCAGTCCCAAACAAGTTAGGGACAACCGTGCTGGTAACTCAAAGTAATATGCTTACAGAAACTGTTGAATTGTTCTGGGTTTTAACTTGTAGGTTTTGTCCAAGGATGCTTTTTGGAAATAGAGCTGCCATTGACCCTGTTCTCCCACACTCATCTGCTGCTTCAATATTATTAAACAACAATCTGAACGTGCAATGGTGACTGATGTAATTGAATGACTAAGCTATAGATGTTAGTAGGTAGGGTAGGAAGCACCTACCCTGAATAAGAACGTCTCAAAATTTTGTGGGAATTATTAGTCAGCACCTGAGCTTCCAAAATTGATACTTATCAGTTTTACTATAACTGCTTGTTTGTGGAACTACAGGTGGTCACTCATATGAGAAGACAATGCGACTTAAATGATATCAAGTGCAAGGTAATCCACACGCTTTTGTTTGCTATATGCAACTTGTCATTCCACATGACACATTTTGTGTAGAAGGGTAAAGTTGTGTGAGTTTTACTTGAGTATCTAAGAGCGTGTAGAATGCCTTGGACAGAGGCGGCTCAACGATATTTGTGACCTAAAGCTTAAGAAAAGACCTTAAATTTATTGTAATAAATTATATATATTCAATCTTATTTGATTTTTTTCTTTTTTGTTTTGTAATAATGGTTTACGGATCATCTTGTACGTATTTTGGCCCTTCACTCGGCTACCTGCTAGCTCACACCATTGAAGACATCTAGTAACTCCACTCACCAAGGCTTCAAAGATCCTTTTATAAGAAACATCCGCGTTTAAGATACAATTTTGTAAGTTCCCATCATCTAATGATCTTAATTTTGTACTATTAAGTAGATGTTAAAATAATTTAATACATTTAAAATAGTTTAAGTGTATTTGAAATTGAACAAAAGACTTGATCTACTCTTTATAAGATAATCTACTTTAAAAGATATTACAAGAGACGTTGTTTGTATTTATTTTATTATCATTGTTGTCGTCAAACTTTTTTTTTTGCCATATTGCATATTTATTATGAATTTTTTTTATCTGAATAACCTCTATTTTTCTTCTTCTAAATAGCGTCGAAAAAGCAATGAAACTTAAATCTGGTATTTGATAATATGAAAAATTTGGGCCTCTTGGAACATTGATAGTTTTATGCATTTCTCCTCCGTAGGCTTTATGAAGGTCTTGTTTCTTTTCTTGATTTTGCGTGTGATATCTATTTGAAGTCTTCCATTTTCACATTGCTCGTACTGTTGTTGAAGTGTTTTTTTCATTTTATCTTCTAGATACGTGGACTTACCTGGGGTGTGTGGGATGCACAAACCTTCTCTCTGTGCCCAAACATTATCCTTGGAGCTGATGTCCTATATGACAGTTGTGGTAGGTTTATTTCTTTATATATCTTGTTCTTTCCTTGTTTTCTGAATCTGCCTACTGAAGTTGAAATGTCTTTCTTGCTTGCTTACCAAGCCTTTGATGATCTCTTTGCAACTGTGACATTTTTACTCCAGAATTGCCCATCATCCGTCTTTATTACTACATATCATAACAGAAGGTATGTTTCTGACCTCTCTTCTCACTTTAGGTTCAGCTAAGGATTATTTTCTTGTGTAATTTGCTCATTCAGATGTAGAGATGATCCAACTCCTGAGGGAAATGTTTCCTCTGATTGCTTTAAACCATGTGTAGTGGGCATCACCTAATTGGATTCTTGATGGTGAAATGGGGCCTGAAGTGTGTTAAGCTTCTTGATGGGTTCTCATTCATGCCATCACACAAGACGTCTAGTTTGAGTGGTAACATTCAATTGGCTGAGATTATTTTGGACGCAGCAAACAGAGACGATACAAAATTGATGTGACTGAACTCAAGTGTGATGGTGCCAAATACTAGGTCCTGCTTACATATTTTACTTCTTCCATTGTAAGTGATCTAAAATTTAACTATATAGCACTCTTTAGAAATCTTTCCTGCAGTCTTTTTCTCGTTTTTATTTTCTAAAGGATTCCATAGGTTGTAATCGTTCAGGTTTCGATGTAAATAACTTGTGATCAACTAATCATCACCTGCACATCAATAGAAGTGACCAGTGCATTTGTGTCCTCTCTTTCTGTGTGCTTTTTCTGGGGGAAAGGAAACTTACTATCACCATTGCATCTCTCGCAGCAAAGGCTAAAATATCTGAACATGAGACTATGCTGTGGCAAAGAGCTTCAACTGCTTTCTTCACATTATCAATGACTTAGAATGCAAGCAAAGAAGCATTAGAGGGACCATCTTTTTCTGCCAAGTTCTTTCCCTTGGAGTTCAGCATAACAGAAGCATCACAAACCTTCAAGAAGGTTCATGGGGTAAAAATGAACAATTTGCTTAGCAATGGGAGGGAAAAGTGTGAGAAAGTGTAACTATTATATGGATGAAACATCATGAAATGCATCCTAAGACAGGCACTGTTTTCTCCATCTTTGACGGGTCGGCATGAGAACATGTTTTAGCGTAGTAATTTGAACTAAGGGCATTCCCTTGACTCTTTAAGGTAGATGGCAAAACAAGTAATGAGCTCAACTATGCAACAAAATACGCCATTGGCTCTATATGCCTACTAGGAACTCTAGACCAAAGTTGTGTAATTGCTTTGGAATTTGTTGATAAAAAATGGTTGGTGAAAACAGTGAATTTGGTTGCATGCATGTTTGCTATTAGGTTGTGGAGAGCTTTTCAAGCTTCTATTGTGAATAGATATATCATGTTACTTTTGTCTGCTCCTTTATGCCTAATGAACCTTGCCAAAGGATAATGATATAAACCAGGCATGTCATTTTTATCTCCTCCTTTCCTGCTTGTTGGCACTGCACGTTGTGTTAAGGCAGTTAAGCTTCAGAGCCAAGGATGTTGCTTAGCTCGATGTTCAAATCCTACTCGAGACAAAAAATTATTGCGTGATATTTTTTACCTGTTCAAGTCTTGATAGACAAAGTTATTGCATACCTGTGATGGTTAGAGGTGATAAGCATCTGATGAAATAGTTGTGTTCACAAGGTGGTCAAGTTACCATCCTTAAAAAAACAAGGTGGTTAACCTTCATATAGCAATACCGTTATGCATGTAATAATGGCTCGTAATCCAAGTCTACTGTTTCGTTAGTTACACCCACCTGAGTATAGTACCAGTTAGGAGTGTCAATTTGAGCCCAAACTCATCTAACCCACCCAACCCGTCCAGAGGCTAATGAGTTGGGTTACAAATATTTTAGCTCATGGGTTAATTTGGGTTGAGCCCAAGTTAACCCATTATATTTTAGCTCATTCTGACCCATTAATCAGCCCAAATACAACCTATGAAACTCACCCAAAACAAAAGGTATCTCAACCCAACTTATATAGAAATTTATTTAGTTGGCCCAATTTTACTTTTTTCTTTTGTATTTTTAGTTGGTAGAATAGCCTAATAGATACCTATACTTATCCCGCTTTGTCATCCCGGTCCCGATACTTTAGAAGGTTTCATCCAAACACTTGTAGTTATTTTATTAAAACACACTACTTTAAACCCCTCTGACCGTTGACAGAGCATATGTGGCAACTTGATGGCCGAGTTGGACAAAATACGTGAATTTCACGTGTACAAGGAGCGTGAACATAAAAAGTTAGACTGTAAATAATTAAGGTAGAATAGCCTAAACGACACTTCTACTTGTCCCCCTTTGTCATCCCGGTCCCGATACGCTACGAAGTTTCACCTAGACACTCATAATTTTCAAAACCCATTACTTTAAACCCCTCTGACCGTTGACCAAGCCTATGTGACAACTTCATGACTGAGTTGGACACAATACGTGAATTTCACGCACATAACGAGAGTAAACATAAAAAAATTATACTAAAAATGATTAAAATAAAAAGAAAGGTAAAAGCAAGAGACAAAAAATATAAGAAAATTTAAAATATCTCTGCTCTTTCTTCTTCCTTCTTTCCCCCAGCCCCACCNAACATGTCTTGTTTTTTCTTTTTTCCTGTTTCTTTTTGTGTGTATATGTCATCAGCAGCACCATTAGTTCATTAGAATACTACAAGACTCTTAGAATTGAATGAACACTACAAGATTTTTAATGGTGTTCTCCGGTGGCCGGAGGAATTTTCCGGCAATAACAATGAAGTTGTTGGTGGTAAAAAGAAGAGATGGTGGAGTAAGGAAAAAATAAGATAAAGTCAATCATTTATTTTCCTATGTGGCACTAGCAATGACCGTGACATCCTACGTGTAGGAGATTGTATTACACTCACATCAGCCTCCTGTCATAAGCGTTTATTATACACGATTTGAATAAGTGTAAGTGTTCGATTGGTAAAACCGGGATGACAAAGTGACACAAGTATATGTGTCATTTAGGCTATTCAAAGAATAAATAAAAAGAAAAAGTAAAAGATAAAAAAATAAAAAAATAAAAAAATAAAAACAAATATGCCTCCTTCCCCACGCCGCTCCCATTTCCTTTTCTCTTTCTACAGTTCCCCTTTTCCCTTTCCCCTTCTTTCAACACCTCTCCTCCATCTCTTTTCTCGTTCCCCATTTTTCCTTTCCCGTTATTCATCCTTTCCATTTTCACAAACTTTAAACCAACATTTGAGAAAAATATATTAAAAATCCTTTTCTGAAGAACAATCACCATTAGTGTTTTTGAGATGAATTAGATCTATGGCTATTACAGTGTTGAATCTGTTTTGGGCAAGGACCGTTTTGGAACTATGATTTTCAGGTTGTGGAGTCGATATTTAATGGCGAATTTATTTGATCGAGAGAACCTGATTTTTTTTGACAGTTTAGGGTGAGTTTCTTGAGATGCGTTTTGGAGAGTGTGGTTGATGGAGGTCTTTGCGGAATTAGGTGGGATGTACACCGTAAAATTGTGTGAACATATGAGTATATTGAGTATTTTCACTGGTGGTGCCTTGGCATCAATGGAGGAAGGAGTTCAAGGTGGTTCACATGGTGGATTGAAGTAGTGAGTGGCGGCGTTGGACAAAAATATTTGTAAGGGAGAGATGGACGATGGAAAATTGGAGAATGATGATTTTTTTGGTTATCCATGGTGGTATTGTTGCTAGTAAAGCTAGAAAGTCAGATGTTGTTTCTTGCTTTCTGCTGTGAAAAATGAAGACAGATGGTAAGGGTGGGGGAGGAGCCTGAGCGAAAAAGAAAAAAAAAATTATTTTTTTTGAAATTAAAGTGAAAAAATAATGATGTGTCATGAAAAATCTGATGTGGAGGACGACGTGTCATTCACATTGTGCATTTGAAGAACACGCGAGGTAGGGAGGGTTTAAAATAGTTGTTTTAACAGCCACGAGTGTTTGGATGAAATCTTATGAAATATAGGGATCGAGATATAAAACGGGATAAGTAGAGGTATTTAAGGCTATTTTGTCTTTTTAATTTTATGTTCTTTTGTTTTTCTGCACCATCCACCTACCCTGCCCCTCCCCTCAAAAAGAATTTTTTTCCTTTTTTTGTATTTTTAGTTTTTTGCACCACCAACCTCCCTCCCCCTAATTTTTTTTTCGACTAACACATTTAAGGTAAAAGACTTTTTTTTTCGACTAACACATTTAAGGTAAAAGACTTTTTTTTATGCAAGATGAACATGGTTTTAAAACATGGGTCAAGTTGGACGGGTTGAGTTATGACCCATTGTTTGGTCCATCTTGACCCAGCCCATCTTAGCCCAAGTACTTTGGGTTGAGTTGGGCAATGACCCATTTATTGACTTAATCCATTTTAACCCGCCCAAATTCAGCCCAACCCACCCATTTGTCACTCCTATTTACAGTTAAAGAAAACACAAAGTGAGATGTAGGGCTGGGTTTGTCTTGTACAGGAGATAAAATTTTAACAAAGCACATGCATCCGAATACTTTAAAATTTGAATAGTCATCTCTTTGCTCCCCTTTACCATGTGAAAAGAATAAGGGTCAAAGTTTAGACTCAAATCTATTTACATCTCAAGTTTCCAGAAACATAACATATTTGTCCGAGTTGAGGCTTTCACTCGGTGCGTTGTGATTCGTGGTTTGAGAAAGGGTCTAATAATTCAACTAAGTGATTAACCAAAAGGGAACTTAACACTTGGCTTTTCCAATAGTCCGTTTGGTCAAGTTGTAAAAATCAATTTATTTTGAGAAGCGTTTTTTTTTACAAGTGTGTTTCTCAAAAATACTTTTTTTGAGAAACCGTTTGTGTTTGACTAATTAATTCGAAAAGCACTTTTGACCAAGCTTTTAAAAACTGCTTGTAAGTGTATTTTTCTCAAAAGTGCTTTTAAAAAAAAACTATTTTTTTCTGCTTCTCCAAAACTGTTTCTAATTTTCCTCAAAAGAATTTCTTTTTTCTTCCAAACGCTTGGTCAGACACTTTAACTTTGAAAAAAAAATATTATTTTTGAAGAAAAAAAGTGCTTATAGAATTGGAGAAGCTTGACCAAACAGGCTATAAATCAAGTAGTAATAAACATTTTTATTTATGCAAAAAAAATGATGGTGTTATGAAATATAACTCAAAGTAGCAATATGGAACAAGGAAATAAAAATAATTTAGTAAAATATGAACAAGAAATAGAGATAGAGAGAAGGAAGAGATTTTTTTCTTTAATTGCGTGTATTTTCCTATCTATTACAAGGCCTTTATATATGCATGAAAAGTGAAGAAAATATGTCATGGAATATGTCATTGAACATATAAAATATGTCATTGAATATGTCATTAAGCATTTGAAGAGTAGACATCCACCGTAATACGATATTTATCATAACAGATGGCATATTATTGTAATTGTTCCTGCTACTTCTGGCTATTTGATTGCTCCATCTCCACTACCAAAATTGATGGGCGTATCGTTGAACTTGCACAAACTAGTACTCCTTTCAAAAGGAATGGTGGAATTCGGAATATGAGGATTTACACCTCTAATTTTTTGTTTGAATCAGATATCAATTATTTGTTGAGTTTTTCGAAATAAGATTATAAATTTATAATTATAATATTGTTCTAGTTAATGTTTCTAACAAAGGAGCAACTGTTTCACTTACCTATAGGGAAAAACCGTGGAATTACAACAATTCTACCTCTTTATTTTGCCTTTTCAATTTACAGAAAACATATCTTTACTAGAAAATTCCATTTTACAATTGACTAATTAAGCTTATCAATGATATTAGTGTTAACTCGATGAAGGTTTTATATTTAACAAAAGCAAGTATAACACTAATTGATCTTATAACTTGACCCATTTCAATTTTATTTTGAAGGGTGAACGAAAAGTTTCATGGACACATGTCTATCCTCCTCTAAAAGTTTGTCCAATCATAAATAACAAAATTTACTCAAATGTACTTCATATATTCACATGCAAATGAACATCAAATGAGATTATAAAATGAAAGAGGATGGCTTCACCATATTAACTTGCATCCTACCAAGACAATGATTGAAAAACTCATTATTAATTTTTTCATAAACATAACAAATGTTAAACGTTTAAGAGAGAAACTAAACATATTGATACCATGAAATGCATTTATCAAAAATTTATAGTAAAAGTGGCACACGTACTCTAGACTATTTGGGAGGATCTATTAGGAGGATCAATTAGAAGACTATGCTGAACACGGGGTATTAGATCATAAGTACA